GATAAAAACAAAACATAGTAGAAGGAATAATTTAAAATGGCAAGAGCACTAAGTTGTCCTATAGAATTAGTAAACAATGAAGTAATGATATAAAATGACTATATTTTTAACAGTAAAAAGGCACGGTTTTTAATATGCTAATTTTAATAATACGGTAAATAACAAGTGAAATTCAAGCATGTTGAGATGAGCTTAGAAATAAAAAAATGAAAATGAGGGTAAAATACAATGGACTTCAGAATGGAGTATTGTTTCCGAAACGCTCAACTGAGCTAGTGATTAACAAAAAGTGAAAAAAGCCTTTCTGAATTGCAGAAAATACTCAACGAGGACATAACATTTTGTTTGCGGGTTATTTTAAAAGAGTTTAACAGAGGAATTAATGACCTCAAAAAAGGTCAAGGGTCACACGACCATTACTTGGCTACTGTCTACGTTGAGACAGTAATTAGGCTAAAACGAACAGTGAACATTTCAATTAAAGGTTGTAGGGCGGGAGAAACTTGTAAACAAGACGTTGCTTTTTCTCAGGTTTCTGAATAATACCTTTCTTGTAATATTGTCGCAGTGATCTTGATAATTTATCATAATTCATCTGCGTACGATTCTTACGTTGACCCCAAAAACGAGCCAAATGATGAGATGACTCTATTTTAAATGTACCTGAAATTTTCAAATATCCATCTTTTTTGTACTTTTCTGCTCATTTTTTCATCAATTCATTATATGTTAGTTTAATGACTCATAACATCATTTCAAACAAATCTGAAAAATCATATTAAAAGTAGCACCTTCTTGTCTGTCAACCCATCTAACGCACGAACTATATTGCTTCGGATGATCCAGTAATTCGCGGATAAAATGCCAAAGGTGCACACTTCCAGAGTGTCGAGCAAATCGAGATGTAGTTGTTTGTCGGACATCAACAACGGTTGCTGCATCGACAGTATTTACTAAAATTTATATCTGCTTAATAAATTAGCCAAAATTAGTTGATTTTCCCATCAATATTACAACAAAAATCCTTTATTCTTGTCCCCACTTTTGTGGTAATTTTGTTTTACTGGAATCATGAGAAGTTGACTCTGTGAACTACTTAATTTGTTTTACCATCATTTATTGAAGAATCGTTGGAGATTTCTGAATCACTGGGACTTGGTAAAACTCCAATTCCAACATTATGAGCTCCTGCATAATAGTGTTGCTGAGTTGTACCTTCAACTAGACTTCTTCCGTGGGAAATATTTTGGTATGCACCTGCAATTTATTGGTAATAAGAACAGTTAAAACTTCGAATACAGGTATAAACTTTATTAAAAAAAGTGAATCCTTTTGTGAAAAACCTCAATTCTTTTATCTGCGCAAATGGGCTATAAAAACATTAATGAAAAGCACTTCTGCACAGACTGTGAAAAACTGAAAACTTTATTAGCTTGGAATGTTTTCATGAGTAATTACTATTAGGATAACAATTCATATTGGCCGTTGCATCAGTACTGCTTGGATTGAAATTATTTAAATAATCTTGAGCAGATGTAAGTAATTCTCCTTGTTCTGCTGCATTTAATGCTAATGAAGGGGGATTCATCTGCAAATATCAGAAGATTCATATATTAATTTGAAGCAGATTGATTTCATTACAAAGATCATAATCCTTTGATGATGAGTGACCAAATTTTTTTTAGCTTTAATAATAGCAATCCGTTCATTTCTAATCCTCATTAGATAAATATCATTTAAGATGATCTCATCAGATTGTATATTATTTATCTCGTCGATCATTTATATGAATGCTATGTGAAATAATAATTGCAAAGGCAAACTGATAGCGACATATCTTCTATTACATTAAGTATGAAATAAATATGAAGCATTGAAAAAAAGTGTACATAGCTTTAACTCGAAAATTTTCTCAATTTATGAATCGTTTTATATTCTTTAATTATTTTTACAGACCCAGTACTGTGGGGAGCAATTGCAATTCTGAGTTATTTGTGAGCTAGTATGACTGCTATTACTGTTACTGCTATGATCTCCTTGTTGACTGTACGAATCGTAAGCTGGAAAATATCCACTGATATTTATTTCAGAGAGAAATTTACATCATATTTTAGAAGAAAAAATTTACATATATATTGATAAACTTTGATACAGGTATTAACTTTTTGAGCAATTAAAAAAAGTTGACTTAAAAAATTTCATAGATAATCTAAAATATTAAAATGAACAATCTTTACCTGTTTTCCATAGCTGCAGTTGTGCATGTAGTGTGTCACCACCTTCTGGTGCTCGCACCATAAAATCGTCTTGTGTCATTGAGAGTAGAGTCCGTCCGTTCATGTATAACTGTCGTGGTGGGGGCAATTGGAATTGTACACACATTTCAGACATCCAGCGGGCACTATGTTCAGCACTCCAAGCTTGGGGATCTTCAAAGTTTTTCTTTTAAGAACAATGATTACATGACTATTCAATATCACAATTTCTACTTGAAATAAAAGCTTCCGTAACATATTCCAGTAAAGTGACAAATGACTAAATGTTTCAAAATTATCGTGAAAAAATAAAGTATTTAATGAATATGACTACAGAGATTCCATTTTAATGTGTATAAACATATTATGGGTATTTTCCTTAAACTGATTATATAATTTAGGCAAATAATTTCAATCAAGTCTGTAAAATTTGTTGTACCATAAGAAGAACAAATGCAACGACGAATATGACATGCATCGTTTTAATAAAGAGGAAGAAAATTTCATGATAAGATACAGTGATAAACCAATTATGGTACATTTTATTAATTTCATTAGTAAACTGGAATTGATATAGACTTGGAACGGATACCAGACATCACTTCTAGCAAGTCTGTTCTCTTAAGGTTATAATCAATACAAATATATAGAGTGGTGATTTCAATAAAGTCGATAGATGTGTTTTTTTAATCGCAGGAAAGAAATAGTAAGAGGACTAATTTAAAAATTTATTCATTTTTTTAGTTTTAAGTTAGCGATAAAAACTTTTATCTTGTGTAGTACTTCAGTAATGATTACCTAACCTGCTATTCGTAGTTGTAGCTCTTAGAAAAAATTAAAAAAAAGACCTGCATCAGTACTGTGAAGGTTATTTATCACTAAAAACGTATACCAAAAAATACAGTAACGGGAAATTAAGAGAAATATTTGATATGTCTCTTAGCAAACATTACAATTATATAACAGATGGAAGCATGTAATGGAAGAAATTTCAGAAAGATTTCAGAACGAGTCACCCAATAAACCAACATCTGTCCTCCTACAGTGATTCTGAATGACTCAGTACGGAATCCTAACCGACAATCACGCAGTCACAGCCATATTTCATCTTCTAAAATAAGTCAAGACCTTAAAGATTGCTTTCTAAGACAGTAATATGAGGTCAGGTGTTCTATGGTAGGTTTGACCCATTAATGATATTCGCATAACACCTGTCTAGAGAACGCCATAAATAAACAGTTGCATTCTAATCGTTAGGGACACAGATGACAGAAATTAATTGTACTGTTTCTTTTACCTGTTGCAAATGTACATTCCGACACTAAAACTGTCAATCCGACAAACAGAAGCACTGAAAATTCTTTGGAAACACCCATGTAGTGAGAAATATAGACCCCAAAGTAAATGTTATATAGATAAGTACAATCAATATAGATATTGAAGTAGTTCCTAATGAAAATATGTGGAAAACTGCAATACAATAAATGTTTTATACGGTGAGATGGAGATATTATTAGCTAAAAAATTAAATTAAAGTGATATTCAGGCCCCTGTTAATGATGCTTGATTACTGGTGGAAACATGTAATGGAAGAGAATTTTCAAACTGCCTAATATTATGAAGACTGCAGATTTTCAAAAATTCATAAACAGCTTAACAAATAAGGTTATATTTGTGTAAAATGAAAGTGTTAAGAACGATAACTTGACAACAATAGTTATCGTTTAAGAAATACTGATAACAATAAACGATAATTGAAAGTGCAGAGTATTATACTTTGCAGTTGCATATTGGAAAAATTATTCTACTCTTCCTTCTCGACTTCAGAACAAAGAATATAATGACTTTGACATATCGTCACCCAAATAAAGAACTTTTTATGACAATTTGAGCTCAGAAAAATTCTAGTCTAAATTACACTTAATCTTGGCATTATTAGAAAAATAAATTTAAAAAATGTGACCTGTTGGTAATCCAAGTTTAGTACATGTTGCATTAATATCTTGAATAAGATGTCGTAATATTAAATCTCGATAGATATCCATTTGGGCAATATCGTTCGTATGTGTTGTGGTACTGTTTGGTAAAGAAGTGGCTACTGCTGCCGATATTTCATCGTCTGTTCCATCTTCTCTTAATCTAACTACTGCTTCTTCCGTAGATGCTGTTGAAGGTTGTGTTGTAGTTAAGTAACAAGCTGAATTGTCATTTTGAATTTCAGAAAATGAAAGCAATAATGTTTTGCGGTATAATTGCTAGAAGAAAAGATGTTAAATTTTATAACCTGTTTGTGAATTTTGCTCAGTTTTAATAAAAGTGGTCGAGATCGAATTGGTTGTAAGACCATGTTGATAATGTTGCTCGTTTGTTAGCAGCGTCTACAACTTAAGCTAAGTAAATGCTGCAATTTTTTTGCAGCAAATCAAAATTTCATTGTTTCAAATTACTGATATATATAGTCGAAAAAAAGAGCTCACTAAAAATATTTAAGAAGCCTTGACCAATAATTTGATTTGTTAGCTAATTTTTTAACAAAGAAATATTTGGAAAAGCAAGCATAATAAAAGACTAAAACAGCTGAAACTTAACAACTTTACTTTAATTTACTTAAGAATGAAAGAATAATAAACTTTCAATAAATAATCAAGACGTGAACTCTTCAAAATCTGAAATAATCGTTGGATTATTTCAATTTCCTTTAGAAATTTTTGAATGCTGGAAAACGCTTAAAAAATATTCCTTTGGGATCAAATAAATTATAAATCAAATATTTTTTGAGAAAAACAAATTCTATAAAAATTTTATGGCAATTTCAAGGCAAACACAAATTCTTTACGCACACACAAGTTCAAACTTTCAACTCTTGCGAGATTTCCATAATTTGTTAACTTCCACTGCCAGCAATTTGAAAATGAACAATCAAAACAAAATAACTGAAAAAATTAATCTCATTCCTTTTTTATTTTTTTCACAAAAGCATATTAACTTATTAATAAATATTATTATGACTGCAAGTTCAAAACAAGCAAATCATATCTCAAATTTACAAAAATTGAATGCACTCTACATTCTGTTTCTAATGCAAAATCGTAAAAATTTGGAGCATAAAGCAATTCATTTATATTAATCAGATGAGGCATACGCTGCTATTTATTAATTAAGATTAGCTTAACTTTCTATGAAGTAAATAGTTTTTGAATTTAAATTTATTGCCAGCAACAAGAAATAAGACAACTGATTCAAACACGAGAATCTAGAAGTTAAATACGAAGAGATACAAAAGATAAGTCTGAAACAATGAGAGATTTTGTAATTTAGTTCTACAGCGATGTATTTAAATGATATTAGCATAGATCTAAGTTGCAAATATGATTTTTTGGATTCCTCAAAAAACCGCCTAGAAATTGTGCTTCCTAAATTTTATTTTGTTTCAGTAATCATGTAAGACAGAAACAATTTTTTTTAATTTAAGAATTACATAATTATATGAGCAATGGAGATTTTGTCAGAAAATGACGAAGTATGAGAGAGAATTATGCAATAATATTTGGAGGTGAGATATGTAGTTTAGCAAAAACAGTCCATATTTATTCACCTCAAGAATTTGCTTGGATGAATCACTTTTACAGATTAATTGTGCATTGTCTGTCGTCATTACTGCTTCATTTTCTTGTTGCTGCTCCGGTTGCTCCTGTTGATAATGATTTGGATATCAATTCATAATTATGTTTTGTTTAGTTGTACCAAATGTATAAAAAAGATCATGGAAATAATTTTCACAAATGAAGTAAAAAAATAAAAATTTTGCATGTGTATCAATTTTTTAATTAGTAAAATCAAATTACAAAAAAAAATTAAGATAATTAAACTGGATCTTTTTATGATCAGTCATCAGTTTTTTTTTTTAATTAGAAAAATTTAAGGCGGTCATTAAATTCGTGAAGGATAAAGATGCAATAAAACGTGGACTCTTCATTGCTTATTTGCATAACATTGATGGTAGAAGGGAAGTCTGGTATGCAATAAGGAAAAGGAATACCTTTAAAATTGTACTTTGAAGTAGTCTACTAATGCTTGCGCTTAATACTGAGAAGGAAAAGCGATGCAGTGAAAAAAGTTTCAAGTGTAGCATATGGGTGTGAATGACTTGAGATGCACTTACAACGCAAACTTCTGTGCCAAATATCAACTTTTAATATGTAGTATGCAAAGAAAAAAGGTCAGTTAGCACATGAAAGTTCAGATTATTAATGAGAAAGCAGGTACTGTATTTGCAGACAACAAAAATTGGTATTACTTCTTAGGAGATATATGAAATAAATTATATTTGGTCGATTAACTTTGTTCGAAAAATACATTACATAAGCGACTGGAAAATTTTTAAAATGCCTTTATATCCCAACAAAACTTTATACTTCATCGTCCTGCAATATTTTTTAATCTCTTTTTGTAGCATTAATTCGAAATTTTTACCTATTCTAAAAAGCTTACATTTTTATTTGATACTGCCAATCGTTTGTTAAATGCGGATGACAAAGATGCGGCAGCTGTTGCACAAGATGCTAACGGTATGGTTCGAGTTACAATACATGGTGATTCCGATTGCTGACGGCGCTGTTGCTGTTGAGAAGTAGCAGTATGAGATGAGTTATTTGAGAAATAACTTCGATCTTCCCTTTCAAATGGATTCTCGATCTTCATTGCTCCACATACCTTATTTCATAAAAACATTTAAATATGTTACAACGAAAATAGCGCCGCACTGCTACGAAGTAAAATGAATAAGTTCCATTCATCGATCATTTTTGAAACTCAATATTATTGTGATATTCATAGCTTAATTAAGAAGTCTAAGAAACTTAACATTTCCATTACAAGTTTTTGTCTTTTTTGTTCTTTTTTTTTTTTGAAAAAAAAGTCGACATTCAAAATGGATATGTGATAACGATCATTAAATTTTAATGAAAAAATCTTAAACCTCATTGGTGTCATCATCATTTTCAGACATCAACGAGGAACTCAAAGCATTCCACTGATGATGATGATATGAACTTAACGATGATGTGACATGAGCTCCAATCACTGTTGCATTCAACGTATCCATTTTTGTCGTTGCACAAAATATTGTGAGCAAAAAAGTGACAAACAATGTCAAATATTTTTTTCTAGTCGTGAGCTTTGAAGCATGTAGAATCCATCTGGATTAATCTATTTTTTTAACTAAACAGTTTTCAGTGAATTTGTCCGAGTATTTATTTCAACGAAATATTGAGAAATTGAAGCATGTAATTTACAAGTTGAATTTCATATTCCGCATATCTTTATCATTCTGCGTTATGAATCTAGTTCTTGCCAGTTCAAAACGAACATTTCATTTCTTCATATTTCATCAAGAATTCCTTGCAAGAAAAACTGAAAACGCATTCAAAATTATTACCCAAAAATTTACAGAACAAATATTCATGAAAAATTACAAGAAATAATTTTGGTTGAAATCAAACGTCTTTATAAATATTGGTCTTTATGATCAAAAAACTTTCAAAGAAATGTAGAAATTAGAGATAAGACATCGCATCAGAATATCATAGGGAAATATCCAACTATCTGATAAATTAATACGTTGCACACATTATGATAAGGATTGTGATAATGATAGGGTGATAGAAAAAAAATTGTATGATGATATTTTGACAGAGATTTTCCATAACAAAATCTTCTTTTGAATCCATCATTCCTTACAAAGTTTATTTATTGAATGTTCAAGTTGTCAAATGATATTCAGTCAACACCAAAGACATTCGTAATTCATCTCATCTCCAAGCTAAAAATGCTTCATGAGTACAAAGCATTTGTAACATCATATAATTTTTTTTTGATTCATGATAAGATTTATTTTTTTAAGCAAACAAATATAAAAACTTTGAGTTCACTTTGATAATTGTTGTAATAAATGTACTGTGTTAATATTTAAATAATATATAACGTAAAAATCACATTATTAATGATTGAAGTACTGATTGAAGTTAAATGAAGATTCATTATAAGCAAGAATGTTTATATTTTTAAAATTATTGCCCATTGTTCTAATCAAAAGCTGCTCATACGAACGAACGTTTGGCTAAAGAGATGGAATTAATATTTACTCTGTACTGATTATTGTGAGATAGCCTTTTCTTAGTATAGTATAACCAAACATTAATGCATAAAATAGTTGTCTTTTACCTTCAAATTATTCACTTATGGACAGATGCTGACAAGAAGCCGCATGAATTTTAACAGATAAACATGCTAAAAAGAATTCCCTCCACAAACAAGTAATGATGAACTAAACTGGCTCTTTACTGAGAACCAATACATTGATGCATTTGTCGGAGAAGAGACAATTGTTGTTATTTGCCGAAACAATGTTTGCATTACATTCATTTATCTGTTTGCATTTCCTGATGCGCGTGTATTTTCGCACTTTAGCGCTACCTCAATTATTCATTACTTATTCCTTTGTTGATAATCAATACTACTAATAAATGAATTTGTTGCGGATTGTGTTGTTTGTTGCCACGTAATAATTTTTCTAATAATTGTAAATTTTGATTTTGTTGTAGTACAAAAAGAATTTATTAATTACTTATATCCCACTATAATGTTAAACAATACTTGATAATTTACTAATTACTTCAGTTTTTTGTACTTATCTCATTCCAGGCAGTTTTCAATTTTAGGAGAAAAAAATAATACCTTTCTTAGAAAAAAATAAATACAATTGTTCATTACTTGCAGCAATTTGAAAGTGATGGTGTTGAACTGCGAAAACATCACAATTTCCAGTTTTCATGATCAACAAATATCAAAGTATCGTCAAAGGATCATTTTTTCAAAAATTTCCAGATGCATTAAAATTTTCATTATAAACACTTTGCTACAACTTACGTTTTTTTCTCTTATGTTAAAAATATTTTGCACACGCTGCGTTTTCAAATTTATTTCTGCCATTCAAATCAGAGATACGTATTTTCTATGCATAATTCTCTCAGCACCAAATCACGATTCTTAGATTGTTGAAAGGTTATTGATTTTGCATTTTTCTTCAAAACTTTTGAACTCTGACGAGAAATTAGACACAAGCCAAGTCCTAGAAGTGAAGTAAAACAAGGTAAATAGATGTTCTTGTAACCATTTCAAAATGTTTTTGTAAAAGATTATGATTTAGGCAAATTAATGTGATTAAAAAATAGAAAACTTACAAAACGATTTCTCAGATCGGTAACTAACTTTAAAAATTGAAGAGACACTAATGGCATTTATGGCAAATATCAAATAAGTTTGACATGAATTTGGCAATTATGAAGTCAGGTGCAAGCTTTATTACATCCTAAGATGCAATCATACACTAAAACCTTATGTTGCTGATTTTGAAATTATTCTATCAAGGATGACTTCATTACATCAAATACAAGAGTTCATTTCAGATTGTAGGTTTTTCACTGTCAAAAAAAATTTAGCCCCGATGAACTCAGAAATTATCGGAAGTTAAAGTGATCATGGCAGCAGAACCCGATCATAAAATGAGACTGAATAATGGTGAGTAGTGACCAGCTCTGTCTTAATCATCTCCAATCAGATATATTATAAAAAATGATGGTTGTCTACAAAGTTTCAAATCAAATTATCCAAATAAATTTTAGCTCAAAGTTCTTAGAGAAGGCAACTGTGCAATGCTGTGCAATGCATTCGTTATACTGTCAAAAATTATTCATATTTAGCAGTCTTACACAAAATTACATAGAAAACGAGTCTCAAAGATCATGATTTGATCATAATTGGAAGGAAACAAGCAAGTCGAAAAAGCAGAGAGATCAGAAAGTTAACCACCAAGCAATAAATTTTGTTACTTGTGTACCTCTTCCTGTAATATTTAGGAAGAAAAATGTAATTCAAGTCAAAATGTGAACTTGTAGAGGAAATTGTTAACAGAAAAACTGAATAAATAAGGAACGACAAGGAAACTAAGACAGATAGGGGCAAATGTATGCATATTGTATTGTGATAGCATACACTCATGAGAAAAAAGAACCAAAAATTGTATATAATAGCAAAAAATTAAGCGATATATTATATGAATATATTAATTGTGGATGGCTGGTAAACCACGTGTAGGAGGAAAACTGAAAGGTGTAAAAGAAGAGGATTGGGGAGGAGATTGAAAGTGGTGAGGAGGGATCGAGTCCTGAGAGCAGTAAATCCGTGATTTCACAGTATTGAAGTAGGTTGAAAAGTGAAAGTGTAAAGAAATGTAGGCCATGATCGGTCACTCGGTCGGTAAGATCGGTTATTCAGTGGCTCACCGGAGGTACGCAGACGATGCTGCTCCGCAGATCTCTTCTTGCGCCTCGTTGTTTCTCTAAATCATCCAGTTTTCTGAAGGAGAAGTACACATACCAAGGTAGAGATTTTCACATAAAGTTCATCTTATTTCAACTTGGGTGAAATTCCTTTTTTTTTTTGAAACAGGGACTTGATGCACCTGTTGTGTATCTGCTGAATTAACACAAAATAATAACCTGTTAAATACTCTTTTCACAACATGTTTGACTTTTACTATAAAGTACAATAACAGTTTCAGGAACATGTAAAGTAAATCCCAGCGGTATAATTGAGAACTCTCAAGTAGGTGTTGATGATCACTGTTATTGACATCAATAAATGAACTTCAATCCAGCATGTTTGAATAGTAAAACGTCTTATTTTGCAAATATTCAAACAATAATTTTAAAAAAATTATTTCTTTGCAAAAATTGAGGACGATTAAATTTATTGGTAGATTCTGCTGTGTACTGTGCATAGATGATGGCAAACGTGAACCGGTTATGACAACTTGATCCATCTAACTTGCCAATTTTGTGCTCTTATTGATGACTGATATGCATGCTGGTCAACCACGGGAAAGAATAGGAAATGAAAGTGAAAAGGGTCAATCCACTCTGCCTTCTTGTTCTTTTTAAATGTGGTAATGAATATTTATTTGTTCGTTTATTTGGAAGTGTATGAAAAGCAAATGTATGACAGATACATCAGAAAGTAGGAAAAGTAAGAATGCATATAATGAGATATTAGGGATAGGACAAGTAGATTATAATATGAGTGACAGCGGACAGGGAAAATCGGGCGAACTGGATCGAATAAAAGTGAATCTTGCAAAGTGAAAAGGAGGGCAAAGGACTTGTTACCAACAAGTACCAGCGACATTCCTTCGGGCATATTCTATGCATGGTCCCTTCATCCATTGTTTCCACTGATAACCAGCCTTCTATTCATTTATTTATTTATTTACCTATCTATCTAGTTATCTATCTATCTATCTATCTATCTATCTATCTACCTGACTATCTGTCTACCTATCTGTCTATCTATCTATCTATCTATCTAAATCTGTTTATTCATCTACTTATTTATCTATTGGCTTAATGCTTCAATACCTTAATAATGCTAGCAAATAAAATGCATTTTTACACTGTATTATCTCATTATATACTGTAGCAATCAAATACTTTTCAAAATACTCAATAATTTAAAATCTTGCACTTTGTGCTGCAATTTAAGATAGAAATCTCAAAGGAAGCTTACCGTATACTTCCACATGTTTTGATCATGCTTCTGATGATCAAAATGTTCTTGTTGGCTTCATTTGATGTATTGTAGTCGTGGGGTTGAGGTGTTTTGGTATATGTTTGGTATGCAAGTTCTTGATTTCTTTTGATAAAATTAAAGCGTTCAGTGATGAACTTATTAAATTCATTGTAGAGTAAACAAAAGAAAAAAAAAACTAACTTTCAGCCATGTAATTTTTTTCTCTATCTATTGTGACATAGCATGTATTATAGAGTTTGGTATGATCTACACTTCTGCTGGTTCCAGCATTATGAATTAATAATGTAGTCGAAAAAGATAGCGAGAAATCATCGCTAGTCTATTGGAAATTTGTTGACTATAGTTTACTTGAAAATCTATTTTTCTATTATTTGTTTGAATTTTTGAATGCTCTCATACTTGTCACCGATGCATTCTTACTTTTTAGTCGTCGCTGCAAATATTTTTTTATTATTATGAGGTCAAGGCATATGAATACAAAGAGAACAGAGTACATTTATAGGATGAAAGCAGTAATACTTGTTGGCGGATATGGAACAAGACTTCGGCCCTTGACTCTTACTCAGCCGAAACCACTCGTAGAATTTGCAAACAAACCGATGATGCTTCATCAGGTGACAAAGATCACTCTTTTGTAGAAACCTGTTACCCAATTTTATGCTGGCTCGTGCCTACTCAGTTTTTATACTTCCACCTCCTCTTCTGCTATCAGTGTGAGTAATAGAACATTATCAGTTGAGTCAATCAGTTGCTTAGCAAGCCAGTCATAGAGGTGAGATACTTCATTTATTCTAATAGATTTATGTGATAATTATTCACCTTGAAAATGAGATTCATAGCTGGATATACCCTTGGTTTTGGAGCATGATATTCTGTATATAGCACTGAAAAAAGGCTGTATATCACTATTTTCAATTACATAACCTTAACAAAACTGTCTGCTGAAAATAATTCGTAGAGAGCTAATGCAATTCAGTAGTCAATTATTGAATTTAAGATTAGCTTAGATTTTGTAACATAGCTATTGTGCTCTCGTGAGGATCATCTTGTAGTTGAAATGTTCTGCTGATTCCTACTGTTGCAGATGGAAGCTCTTGTTGCTGTAGGTGTTGACACTGTCATACTGGCCGTTAGCTATCGTGCAGAACTTCTGGAAAAACAAATGAAACGATATGCTGAAGAGCTTGGTACTTTTTCACTTTCATTTCTAAAGTGTTTCCGTGATATATTCTGTTTTACTAAAAAAAGCTAGATTGAAAAGTATGATTACTAAGGCTTGTACGTAGCCTGGTTTTCTTTTTACATTCTGTACGATATGAAGATATGAAATGTAAGGAAATTATCTTAGGAAAATATATTTTTAGGTGTCGAAATAGACTTCTCTCTTGAAGAAGAGCCATTAGGTACGGCAGGCCCTTTGGCTTTGATAAAGGACAGATTGGAAGGCGATGAACCATTTTTTGTTCTAAATTCGGATATCATTTGTGAGTTCCCATTTCGTCAAATGATTGAGTTTCACAAATCTCACGGTCATGAAGGAACTATAGCCGTAACGAAGGTGATTAATTTGTTAAGAATATGTTATGTGCGAAGACACAATTCAAAGTACGGAAAATTCCTTATCTTTTTTTGTTTAATTTTTTTGTAATACTGACATAGTTTAAGGTCGAGGAGCCAAGCAAGTACGGTGTTTGTGTATTCAATGAAAAGACTGGTAAAATAGATAGTTTTGTCGAGAAACCCGAAGAATACGTTGGAAATAAGGTTTTAATTTTCTTCTGCTTTTTTCGTCGCCTTTAGGTTCATTATGAAAATGTAACTTCAGATCAACGCTGGTCTCTACATCCTTTCTTCATCTGTTCTGAATCGAATTACGCTGCGTCCAACCTCCATTGAAAAGGAAATTTTCCCAGAGATGGTTAAAGATGGTGAACTGTATGCATTTGAGTTGCCAGGTTTTTGGATGGATGTTGGACAGCCAAAAGATTTCCTGACTGGTGGGGATTCTGTCATTGCTTTTTCGCCAACTGCTTGTCACCCCTTTTCATAATTTGTGGTTGTACTGCCAGTCGTGTGCATTCGAATGATCTGTATATTATTATTTTTTCTATATTTCCAAAGTTATAAAATCCTCTGCATTTATTTTTTCTCTCAAGGTATGCGATTATATTTGAAACATCTTCGTGAAAAGTCACCATCACTACTTGCTCAAGGTGAACATATAATTGGTAATGTGATTGTTGACGGAACAGCTGTTATTGGTCATGATTGCAGGATAGGTTTGCTTTAGTTCATTCGCAGTGATTCAGTTGAGAATCAACATAAAATAGATAAATGTTCATTAAATACGTTAAAAAACTAGACATGAAATTATTATCCTATCTTTCTTAATGTAGATTCTTTCGATCATCTAATACATTTGAACCATAAATGAAATTCCATTTCATCTTTAGGACCCAATGTTGTAATAGGACCACGCGTGAAAATTGAAGATGGCGTCTGTCTACGTCACTGCAGCATCTTATCGGATAGCGTCGTACATACTCATTCTTGGATTAACAGTAGCATCGTTGGTAGAAAAGTAAATTCCGAAGTTCTAAGTAATAAGTGATATGTGTATTTACCTTCTTAGAAAGACAATTACTTTGTTCTATGCAAGAATTTTTAGTGTTCTATCGGTGAGTGGGCACGAATCGAAAACACTTGCGTTATTGGTGACGACGTTGTTGTGAATGACGAGCTCTATCTGAATGGTGCACGAGTATTGCCACATAAGGCAATAACGGCAAACGTGCCAGAACCAGACATCATCATGTAAGATGAGAGTATATTCTTTTGATGTATTGAATATTTGTCATATTTCAGACCTCATATCCAATCATTCCTTTCATTTATAATTAAATCATGAGTTGATTGTTGCATTGTTTATATCTATATATATATATGTATACAATTTTAAACATTTTTTAATCGTAGCAAAAATTTTTTTCGCAAAGTATTTGTTGCTTTCTTTTTCATTTTATGGTGCTTTTCCAAATACGTTTGTTATGTTTCTCGCTTCTTAATCCAAAGATATCATTTATCAATTAAGACGAGATGTCATATGTTGGACACACCAGGTAAAACTGATTCATAACAAAATGTTATCTAAAGTTAAAATATAGATGAGTGTCAGCAACTTCACCATTCATAATGCACTGCGGCGTACTTTTGCTGAGCAAGCAGAATCGTCATCTGTTTTGCACGCTCTCTTCGTTTGTGATTCATTCCTATAAATTAGTAGTTCTTGCAGACTGCGTTTGTTGATGATGAAGTCTTAAGTATGTATAACTAGCACATGCACTGTAAAGCAAACCCTGTTTTATATTCCAAGCTACTTTCAACAGAAAGTTGGCATGACAAGTCTGAATCGCTATCGGATGTTTCCGTAGAAGAACTTGAATCACTTGACGTATCGGAGAAACTAATCGAAACATCTGCTCTTTTCAAAATCATATCTGCAGCAAGAACTAGTATTGGTAGTGATGCACTGTATTTTTTGCTTAAAGACTCAAGTTTTAAATATAGGAAGTAATACTGAAGAATCAAAATTTTAATAAGTAGAGATCAGTAAGAGGAAACTGCGTATATCATACGAGAAGGTTCTGGCTAGAAAAATACCTACCTATGGTGGGTAGGATTTCAGGTCGGGCTTTTCGTAAGCACCTAAGCCAGTGTTTACAAAAATTTGGCCTCTCGCACAACGTCTTAATAACTACGACAGGCAAATTAGCCTTGGAACAGAAATTCTGAGTTACAGCAACGGTATCAGTCAAGTTCAGTACTACATGCCACCATCCTGCAAGATAAGCTGTTTGTCTGCGAGATGGGATATCTATCTCTTATTTCCCTAATTTTACCTAGTTCTGAAGACCGAACTCTTGAATTGCACAAAAAAGATACCACCAGGTACAAATACGACTTCTCCAGGCTTTTGGACAGCTTCTATGGGTTCCCATTCTTTTAGCAAACCAGTCGTACGAGCTGTTTTGTAGATAGTCGTAAACCACGTGATAGCTTCATTACGATGTACACCAGCCTCTTCTTTTGTTGGTTTCAGAACATTTTTCGGTGTTCGCGGATGAAAAAAACACCATCTAGGAAACAATACACATGTCTATTTGACGACATCGAAGTTAATATATCAGTATATTCTTACTGACATTTGACTAGGACTTATAAAACAATGACTGAAACTCAGAAGAAAAAACCTACCTATAATAAATGCCATATCTTTTCAAATTATTGTGTTGTGTGAAATGCGGTACCTATACATTACAGTCAAAATTTTTTGAAAACATTACAATGCTAATAATTTTACAAACCAACTTCTTGCGACCAGTAATAAGCGCATTCCAAGCACTTGTCCCTAACGGATCTAAGTGTATTCCTGTTCCAGAACGAGAAGATCCCATAACAAACCACCGGTGGGGAGGCCGTCGCATGTCGCTTGCATAACGGAACAAATCGTCTTCAAAAATTTGTGGGACAATATAGTCCTTTAGTAAGCGTTTTACTTTATGGCGCTAAATAGAACAATAATTAATGCAAGCCATCATCAGTAAGTTAATTCATCACAGAATAATCAAATTATAGAATAAGAATATTTGCAGAGGAATGAATAAAAATAATGTATTTATGAACTTCGCCAAATGTACTATCGAATATGTAAAGAGGGCTATCATCATCTGTTCGTTTCATGTATTCCAAAAAATACTTCATCTTCAATTTTACAGAATGCCCGTTGTCATCCTCACCACATTTGAATTTCTGATTACGATATTTCTTCAGTAATGTCTGAACATGATAATAATATTGTTAAAATAGATTTCAGTATACAATTTCCAGATCACCAATCCTCTAATTAAAACTGCCAACACTATGTTTTTTGACTGAGAACAAACATATTTTAGTTTATCTTGTCCTCAAAAGTCAATTTAATCGAAACTAGCTTCAACGAAGTGGATATAAGAGCAATGAAATGTTTACGCGTATACAGCCTAAAATTTTGAAGTACATATGAATAATACTGGTAATGTCCATTTTTTCGTAGCAGGCCAAGACGAAGTCAAACCGGTAAGAATCACAGGAACATGACGTGATTCATAATTTTCCACGAATTGCTCGACAGTGAGTTCAGAAGCATCCACTCTTTCAATATTATCTTTTGTCAACCCTTCACTCAGTAACTCAAACGTTCTATGGTATTTCGCGCTGCTCCAATCATCGTCGGATAATTCTATCAAATGTAAAAAAATGAAACATGTTCAAGTTGACTGGAATAAAGAAGCAACTTTTCAAGTGAAGCAAACAAAAAACCTGATCTAGTTTTACGTTTCGCAAATTGAATATGATGTCCAAATCGATACTGCGATATCGACATAAACTGTTATAGCAATTGATCAAACTTGTAATGATATTGCCTGATAATATAACTCAAAGTTAGTACATGAATTTATATGAACAAATGTAGCTTCTAATTAATCCCATCCTCACATAAATACACAAGCTTTGCATTTTCTGCAAGGTCGATTATGCGAGTAAGGTCATTAAAGAAATTGATGCTGAGCAATCATATTTTTCAGATCACAAAGCTAAGCTGATGATAGGCAAACAACAACAGTAACTGCTAAAATTACAAACATAAATTTCTATTTGCAAAATATAAAACTCATTGCTATCATAATTCAGATAACAGAAAGGGACTTGAACATGTTCCGACAAGCTTCGAATTGCCATAAAGCAATCTCAAAAATCTAAAAAAAACAAAAACAAAAAAAACCAAATTTATTTGAAATGGGCAGCACTGGCCAAAAAGTAATCAAATTTAAAAAATGATACTTTTGATTTTTAGCTGCTAGAGATTAAAGAGTACTACAACTAACTCTTGCTTACGGTCGAAATTTTTGTTCAGAATTAAGTAGGGTGTTGTGAAATTATAATCTACGATGTCTACCGTAATTGTTACGCTTGAATCGTTTTTGTAGTCTTTGTCTTTTTTTTTTTTTATTAAATTTTAGATGTATTTCATCATGGCGTTTTCCCTCCTGAGTAATTAGTTTACTTTCTATGTCTGTATATTACAAGTTTGTAGGTCAAGTCTCAAATGGATGGGTTATAGTGAAGCTTTAAGTCTAGTAGAAGGAGAAAGTAGTAGAAAGATTCAACTAAATTGTAGCAATTAGTTTTACTGAGCTCAAGTGTTATTAATAAAATAATGGTATTAGTTTTGAACATTTATAACTGCATCTTTCATGCTTGTTATAGACTGAGAAGAAATTGACAATCATAGTCATATTATGAAAAACTATCACATCCGTGCACGCTGATAGTAAGAGAATAGGTTGTTCTGTAAAATTGGTTTCGCCTTTTTTTTTCCTTTTATTAGTTAGTACTAACGATGCATAAATGATGTAGATAAAGTATGTCTGGTGGCATCGCTGCAGGTCGTCTTGCTGAAGAACGGAGAGCATGGCGCAAAAACCATCCGTTTGGATTCATCGCAAAACCCATCTCAAATCCTGATGGTACTAAAAATTTGTTCAGTTGGGATTGTGCAGTTCCGGGCAAAAAAGGAACCATATGGGAAGGTGGTCTATATAGGGTACTTATTTTTAATTGCAGTATGCATGCTTGGTTTGTACTTACCGTTTCACTTTCCTTAATAGTTACTTCTATTAACTTTTTTGTCAGTATAAGGTAATAATTGGGAACCATTATAAAAGCTGGGGCATTATATATGACGAACTTCTCAGCACTTAAAGAAATTAAAATGTTTGTTAATGAAGATTTTCTCGCAATGTCATTTTTAGGTCAAAATGCTCTTCAAAGATGACTACCCTTCCACCCCACCAAAATGCAAATTTGACCCTCCTTTGTTTCATCCTAATGTTTATCCTTCGGGAACTATTTGTTTGTCACTGCTAGATGAAAGCAAAGTTTGTTCTTTTTTTTTTCACTTCACGTGGGTTAAGTATTCTCAATTATAGATTTAGTTTTCTGTTAAGGGTTATTTCCACTTAATTAATCAGTATTATTTTCACTCTTGAGAAATCTATTTTGTTTCAGGACTGGAAACCATCTGTTAGTGTACGCCAACTTTTGCTTGGTATTCAAGATTTATTAACGAATCCCAATATAGAAGATCCTGCACAAGCCGATGCATATCAAATTTATTCCCAAAATAGGGGAGTAAATTTTTACTTCATTTTTTAATGTCACGTACTATCTTCCGTAACTCATATGAATGTTTAATGAATAATGTAGTGGCTGTTTGAAGTTGGCTAGGCTCATTGTTTGCATGTAATTATTTACTGTATCAAACGTCGACAGTAGAGAACCAACAGTTACTTATGCATTTTATCACAAAATTCCAGCGGCACTAAATCATTGTTTATTCCATCTGCAATGAGCACAATCAGATTATTTATGAGATCTATGTTTCTTAGGTATTTTAAGACCATTTCAGAAGTGAGTACGAAAGAAGAGTTCGACGCCAGGCGCAGCAATTTTGTGCCACACTCGTACAGAAAGAAATGCTGGGTTATTGATGTTATCAAATATCATCGTTTACAACACTAGAAACAGTCAACACGTTGAATCGATCTCAGTATTGGCTGAAATATTTGGAATTTTGGAAAATTTGTGGATTAGAAATTACTCATCCATAATATAAGCGAGCTTGATGTTTCATTTGGTCGGACTTTCTTTCTTAACCTTTCAACATTCTTTCTCAAAAGAAGGAATAGTTCGTTTCTGAAATAGCAGAAATAAAATATCTCTCGCAAGTTTTAACTACTTTCAGTGGAAACTGCAACAGCTGAATGCAGATAATTTTTAATTATAACATAGAAGCACTGCTATAAGCGTGTTTTATCATGGAATTTCTCGTCGTCGAAAAACAGCTGAAGATCTTCAAGCTTGAAGTTTCGTCATTATTTATCACATTCTGTCTGTGATTATTATTTGTTATTTGTAAATATCAATGCTGCATTAATTCAACTATTGTCATTTGAATTATTTGAACATATATTAATTTATTATGGATCCATTGAGAAGTTTCCTCTGTACTTTTCAGATCATTGTTTATGTGCAGTAATTTGTTATCCATCAGTAATTTTTGATAGATTTTGCAATAAATTTTTTAACTTTTCTGTCTTTGAAGAGACATTCTACACATAAACTTCGTAGTTTAGGTTTTTGTGTGTAAGTGATACTGAAAGTAGTATATAATTCACGAATTTGAGAAAATGTAGTTCTGCAATAATGGCCAAATTAAAAAGTGTAGAATGACGTTTTGGGAAATAACTATTCAATGTAGTCAATTCGTCATGTCGGTTTGAAACAGGAGACCAATGGCTTTGTGGAATGGAATTTTCATATAAATGAGTCGCTGAGTGATATGAATAGGTCTGTAAATGATTATTATATTTATTTGGAATGTAAGAGGATTCATTTAGTTTTCTAAAACGGGCAGAAAAAATCGCCAAAATGTTATTTTTATTGATGTTTTGGAATTATGAAGTGGCATTCTCATTCCGAGGCAATTCAATATGTTGATAAGTATGACAACACTATTAAAAACATATAGTCAAAGTATTTAGTCCATGTGCTGAAAAATGTCACGAACCGATTAGCCATTCAAAATATAGGACAATCGGTGTTTTGTAAAGAGGAGGAGAGTCATTAAGGTCATTATTATAAGGTTGTGATTTAGAATGGTTTCAGTCCTCTTATAGTCAGTCAGCAGATCCCTCGGTGCTTCACTTATTGCTGAGTTCGCTAGTTTCGATACGGTTTGTAGTCAGCATCAGCATAAAATTAAATTCAAAAATTTGTATCCATTTGAGCTATTTTGAATAATATTCATATCTATATTTGTACAAACTCCTGTGGTTTTTATTTTTAATTGAGCTATGCATTACCACACTGCTACTGAAGAATCATTATTTTTTTTCAATAATTTAAGTAGGTACCTAATTAGCAGTTCAGATTTGTTGCTCTTTAATGCTAAATAAATTATGAAGCAAATTTTTTTGCAAAATAATTACAGAGTTTTTTGATAAGATTTTCTGTCAAAGCTAGTGAAATCTGGATGAATAAAATGATTTTGCTGATATGGTTTTTAATCAGAGCAATCAGTAGTCATCAGCAGTCTACCATTGATTCTTCTTGTAATGAATACACACTTCCGTTATCATTTGAAAATGATAAATTCGGCAATCCAAGTATGCCTGATATTTAATTATTATAATATTTTGAAGAAATAATTTAATCATAATCAAATAAAAAACAAAGTGCATATCTTTATTTTCTTTAACTCATAATTACGAAAATTAAATAAAGCTCAAAAATTTCATGAAATGGAATTAATTTAAATAGATTGAATTGAAGTGACAAAAAAAAATATTTCAAAAGTTTTTATAAACAAGTGTTTTATTATCTATATTTTGAATCATTAAATACTATAAATTTAAATCTTCATTAATAAAAGAGGTTCAAGCGCAAGTAGTTTTCACATTTTAGTCCTTTCGTGCTCTTCACTATCTTGTTTTGGTGAAAAAAGGTTTAACGAATTGGAACGTGGAGAATTGATTCCAGGAAGTAGAATAAAAACAAAGGGCTTGTCAGACGTCGAAAGCCACAATTCTAAAACGGTAAATGATTGTTGTGATACAAAATGAAATGCAGGTTTTTTTCAAATGAGAAACATGATTTGGAACTTATATGCGTTTAATATTTGTTAATCCAATTTAGCTCTTTTTTAGCGATGTTATAAATTTTACGAAAACAACAGTTGTACGAGCGAAACGCAGTGGACAGCTGGTATATATTTGGAAGAGGATGGAAATAATGTTAAGTAAGTTTGCTAATGACGTAATTTTTAATAAATTAACAATTAATATTGGCAGTAAAAGCTCAAATAAAAGATTTGGTTTGCAGAGCAAAATGGAAATGTTGCAGTAATGAAGATATGCAATATTCTATAGCATTAAAAACTGTGATTGTCAAAATTGGACAAAGATATAAAGGTGGAGAGGTGTATCAAAACAGGCGAAGGGTCGCTTTTGATTTGATTAAAGAGATAAACGTATCATATGATGAAAATCACAGGTTATGTTTCGTCTACAAGAAAAGCTATTCTTAAGAAATTTAGGAATTAAATTTCTTGAACCGCTTACTTATTCTTCAGCTACTTCAGATTTTTAAGTAAAAATATTTAGGCCATGTTACGAATTAAAAATAGTACGCTTGGCATGTGTATCGAAATCGTCCAGTATAAAGAAAAAATGTTTGTTGTATTTTGGTTACTTTTACTTTAAATAGAAGCACGTGAGAGATTCTTGAATTTACTACACCATATGCAAGACCTTATATTTTCATCATTCAATATCCGCCAGCTTTTTAGATGAAAAATTTTTGAACTTGTAAAATTATAATTATGAAAATGACAAAAATTCTCAATCTCGTCATCTGATATTAATTTTCAATCGTTGCTAGCATTTGTAAGTTTGCTGAATAAATAAAAAATGACAAACCTTGTTTTCTTTTTTTTGATTAAATTTAGTTAAAACAAACTTTTTTAAATTACGAAGATAAGTAAAGAGAAAAAAGCAGTTAAAAGAAAAAATCTTCTTACCTTTTTTCCACAAATTCATGAAGTTTATTCTACGTCATAATTTTTGCATTTGAAAACAAGCATTTCCGCATTTTTTTACCTTTTTTATTTTTATTTTTATTTAGTAAAATAGAATTCATTAATTCAATTTGAAGAATTAAGAATTATTGAAGAAAGACGAAGGAAGATTTTTTCCTTTTTTAAATGTTGGTGTTTTTAGCAGTTGCGAATGAAAATCGCGAAACTGATGCTTTAGTCAAAGATATTTCATCTGAATTTGATGCTGAAGAATATATTTCTGCAAATCTGCACCGTGCAAAATACTCTAAACCAAAGTAATTTATTTCTTTACATTGTGCTTGGTATTTTGTTGAATCTTAGTGAAATCACTAAAATAAAGTTATTTCATTTTTTTTATCATTCAAATATTCATCATTGAAGGTAATTGATTCTGAATTCATGTAATAAACATTATGTTGTTTTTTTTAAATAATCTTAAAGTTTGTTAAATAATTTTAGAGAAATTTTAGTAGCCGCTTCACAATTTTGGGTGATGAAAACATGGATAATTTCTATCATCCTAGACATCGAATATCTCAACGAAGAATGCTTTCCTTTCGTAGAAGGCCTTTCTACAAACCGATTCTAGATGAGTATGATTATTATGACTACGATCCTGTTATTTTTAGGCGTCCTTCTGGACATCGCAGGTGTTAATTTATATGATAAATTTCTGTAAATAAATTTATTAAATAATCCTTTGCATATATTTGATCATTTTTCTTAACATTTATTACATCACATATCCTCATCCCACATGAAAATTTTGATACACTAGAATTATTACAAACGACGGATTATGGCCTATTAATTTGGGTACTGTGGGACACAGCCGTTCAATTGTCGCTTCTGGAGGTTCACCTTCATCTCTCAATGAAATTGCATCATCGGTATTTTGAAAATTTTTAAAATTTATCAAGTGAAATCAGACGAAAAAAAGCATTCTTGCTTGCATCATATATTTGCAACATATGTGAACTTCATCACGTTTTTATGTCTTAAACGTATAGAATACGGTAGACAACAGCGATTATCACCAGTTTGTTGATAGCGATAGCGTAGCAGTTTCTGTTACATCTTTTCCATCAGAAAGTTACAATCAGCCGTCTTTTGTGAATGAATATAATGTGGGGGCTCGATATCAACCTACCCAAATCGAAGTACAAGTATCTTCATCCCTTTGTGCATATAATATAGGATAAAAATGATAATATCTATTACTAAGTGTCTATACGTATATGGTTATTTCAAATATAATTTATTTGTAATTAATTGTGAAACAAACTCATGAAATGAAGAACTTTAAACTTTTTGATGCCTTTTTACTTGAGCATAAAAGTTTTAAATTTTCTGCAGCCAGCAACTGGACAAGTGCCATATCCAAACGTGCAATATCCACCACAAAGAACGATAATACAAACAGAACCAAAACCTTCAGCTGTTATACAACGACCTATTCCTACATACAGTGGCACCGTACCAGTAAGCCGTCTTATTTACACGTTCATGTCATGTGTATGATTTTTATGAATATAATTCAGTAAATATTAGCTGGATGAAAAAGTTCATCACAAAATTAAAAATGTGTTAACTGGAAAAGAATAATTATAGTTTTCACTTCATAAAATGGAATTAATGGTTGTAATTTTAGTATTATAACGGCTACTTTGAAACTCTGCAGTGCTTCAGTGGAGATGTCACTGTACAAACTCCTGATCGAATCAAACGTATTGATGAGTTGAAAGTTGGAGACCAAGTCTTATCTATTGATGAATCACTGGTAAATAATGATTCATTTAACATTAGTGTTCTAATCACAAACTACATTTGTCACTATTGCAAAATGCAAAGGATAAATCACAATTATTGTTTACTGCAGATATCTTTCTCACCAGTTGTGATATTTTTGCATCGATCCAGTAATGAATCAGCAGTTTTCAACAAAATTATTTTGGTTAAGTCTTCAGTAATTATGATTTTCGGTCACATCTCAGAAATAAATAAAATGATCAAAATTTATTAAAATTGTTTACTGTATGAGATTTGAAGAATAATGCAGTGATTGTTCAGAAAACTGGAGAAATGGTAAAACTAACAGACTATCATTTATTGTATGTTACCGATTGTAAGGCTGGAGAAAAACTACGTTTGACATATGCGAAAGATGTTCATTTAGGACAATGCTTGCATGTTTTCAATGAAACGTTCAATAATCTTGTTCCCATTCAAATATTTGAAATTTTACGGGTTTGTTTTCTGTCGTTGAATGATTGCTTTAACATCTGTAATTTTAAAAGAACGAGTGAAATACAAATGTAAAATTTACTTATAATAATTCACTTGCTTTGATGCATATAATTAAAGATAATTTTTAGGTAACTGATCAAGGTATTTACGCACCTCTCACAGCTACGGGAGATATTATTGTCAATTCAATTCTATCGTCCTGTCATAGCAATGTAATAGCTCAGACTTTACAGCAGTCAATTTTCAGTCTCTTACGCAAATTCCGATCTTCATTATTCACAAAAGAAAGTACAATTGGTCTCTTGCCAGGCATTGAATTTCTCACTAAAATTTCTGATATATTTTTACCTCAAAGCTTTACTGCGTAATACCGTTAAAAATTTCATATATATCACATTTCATTTTTATTTACAATCAATAAAAATCATTTGTTACCTAACCATCTGTTAATATAAAAATCATTTGTCACCTAATCATCTGTCAATATTTATCATCTGTCACTCAATATATTATTACTGCTACAAATTATAGAAAGAGAAGTCTTGTAAGATGAAGAATTCGTGACTAATATTTGAAGGAAAAAATGATAAAAACATTCTTTTGAGAAGGAATAATGATTGATTATGAAAAACCAATACCAACAAAGGTTTATGAATTAGTTGTTGACAAACTGAAATTGTCCTAGAGGTTTTGTTGCTTGAGAAATATTCATTGGCCATCTTGTATCATACAGCGATGGCGCTTCTAAAAGTATCAGGAAAGTGCCAACGTTTAAGACAGAAAATATTAGGAGAAACAATCGGTCCAGTACCATCGCTACAAAAATCCATTCATCGGATATCTGTAAAGATATTTTCAAATATTTTTCATACTCTATAATATTTATGAGTTGATTTTAAAAATTAAAATAAAATTAAGAAGTTACAAACCTCAGTTTCTTCTTCATTTTGCCGAAAATGACTGGCAATAAATCGTATCTGCCGTAATAGTTTCGAAACCATGTCTTGCTTACAATTTATATTTCTCACAAAACCATTCCAGTATTGATGTTGGTGTGAAGTTGATTCGTCAGTCTAAGTTCTGTGAAAAATCAATTCAGTACATGGAACAACTGAAGTTTGAAAGAGGAATGTCAATAATGAAATGTAACCTTAATCATATCAAAAACTAACCATCCAGTCATCATTTCTGTAAATTACATTCTTGATAAAGAAATTGTCAACATTTATTTTACTGCGATGGTCAGAATAACGAGAATAGAGCGGATAAGAAGCCAGAATATTGGATTTATCAGGTGAACTGATTTCTAGAAAAACTGATTGCAAAGACAAGTTCTTACTTCAAATATCTATTATATCAATCCCTCATAAAATGGTATTAAAGATTTTTATTTTTAGAGCAATAAGTGCAATTTTTACCTGTTATTACATGTTCTCGACTATTTAAAACAATTTTGAAAACAGTGTTAATAATTTACTTTCTAGAACTCTAAAGTAATGTAGTTCATTCACTGAATTTCTCTTTTGTACAAGTGAGATCGGATCAACTAGTTCATTCCTGGGACACGCAATTTTTTGTTTCCGTATGTTGCATTTCATGCACAATATTCTGTAAAATAATGAAAACATTTATAAACAGCAAGCAAAAAGTCTCCAATGTCTCGACATTAAAATAATTTCTAAAAGCTTAACCTTGGTAAAAAGTGGAGAAATAACTTGCGAATCCAAGGGGACATACGATAAGCTGAACCACTCCGAAAACGCAAATTTACAGTGATAACCGAAACAACTGTAGAAAGAGAAACTAGTATCATTGTTGTAATAAGATAACGTCCAAACATTGGTATCACAAGTGATGTCGGAGGAATAATGTCGATCAAAACCTTAAAATATTGCAGCATTGAAATATCATCTAAAAGTGATATTACATTGTTGATCTTGAAGTCAGGTTGAGGAAGTTGTAAAAGACATGTCTAAATATGGTCAATAAAAAATTTTTCCATCAGTTATTCCTCTAATAGACATTTTACGTAAAATATCATGCAAAATAATCACTCTTCAAAAATTTTCTTCATCTTGACTATTCCTAAGAAAATAAGACAGTTCTAAAGCATCTAAACTGAAAACGAAATACTCATTTTTGAGACAAACATAAAAATATGTTAGATGTGTAGTAAGAAATGTATATATTCGCTACTGAATTGAGAATTTGAGAACGTGTACTTGAAAAAAAAATCACTAAAATATGAATGAGCAGTGCTTTTTTTTGCTAAAAAATTTAAGCAGTACTGATTGGTATTTAGTAAATTAAAGTAATGAATGTGGAAGTTTTCTAAGTGCTAAGTGATTAAGAATAACTTACCAGAAAGAACACAGTTAAGGTCACCAATATTGATATTGAAAATGTTATTTTGTGGTCAGATAGGTAGAATACAATGATAGTAAGAAGCGAAATTAAAAAACATGGCATTATAAGGTTACAAGTGAAAAAGAGTGTTTTTCGACGCAAGACAAAATAATATGTAATGTCAACATATTTTTCCGGACCACAGCAACTTGTGTAAAGGACTGAGTGTCTTGCTGATGACAATGATAATAAGTCCCATTCTGCAGATCTGAAAATCCCTAAAAAAGTAAGTCATACGACTACAATTATTGTATAGATTTTTTTATTTATTTAGTCACTATTTTATAATACAAAATTTTTGGAATAGTTGCCGGAATGTGACTGACTTTCATACTTTATTTTACAATACTTAGTAACTTTAGTGCATTTATAAGTAAAATCATACAACACTTTTGTTCGTAAAATCATACAACACTTGTAATGAAAATTAAATAAATGATTACTCATAAAAGAAACTGAGATCCATTCCTACTTGCATTGTTTCAACATCTTGTCCATTTACATCTGTCTCATTCATTATTTGATCTGGGAAAGACATAATTTGTCTTATTATGTAGCAACAAATCAGATATTTTGCAAGTGAATACAGTTTTCTTAAATGAAAAACGTTAACCTAGTGGAAGCTGTTTTAAATCCACATAATAGCCAGTATATGACCACGCACCAAATTTCATCTCACACTGTTGAGAGTCATATGGAAACCAAGTTACATCGATCTAAATTTTTTGACTTAACAAAAATAAATATTTTTTAATTTTTTCAGTAGAAAAAATTACCGGGCAAAATGATTTGTAAATTGCTGGTGGCTGCCACAAAACACGTCCATCATACGCAACAAGAGCATCAGTAAAAATGGTTATATCAGGATCACCAGCTGCACTAAAATCAGGTCAGTTAAATACTAAAATACTAAATTTAGAGATTTTTTTAGGATGAACATGTTAATTTGAGTGCATCATTAATTCATCTATGTTAAAATTAGCAATAGTGATTTAGATATTTTTCGCACTTATTGTATAGTACAAGATCAGGGGTCCAAATCTGATCGCTAGGAATGTGTAGTGTTGTGATGCCACCATATCTGGACGGATTCCATGTTAATTTTGAGTCGCTCCATTGCTAAAATCATGAAGAATGCTTAAATTTGCAGAAAAAATAAAAAAAAAAAAAGCTCTTTTGTTTCTAAAAATCGCAACTACAAAATAACAAAAATTCACCATTTCAAGCCATAAGTTTGTGGTTAGGATTTGATTTTTTTCGTCCTGAAACAAAATAATTCAAATATTACAGAATAAAATAAATGCACTGTATTCCCTGTTATTTGCTTTTTACTCACCACATCAATAATTCGAATTAATGATGCTCCCAAATTTACTGTTAAAACATCTGTACTGTTCCTAACTGGTCTGGGAATTTTGTTGTAGCCGTAGAGTAGATCGTGGTAAAGTTGTCCTTCAAATTTTGCTGAGTTTCTGTTGACCATTAAAATTGGTTTACTAGCTAATAAAATGATGAGTAGAAGCAACATATTTCGACTTTAGTTCCCGATTTCTTAAAAATAAATAAATAAGTAATATCGAAAAAACGTGCAGTGTCACTTATCCCCAAATAAGGGCTCTTCCAATAACTGTTAAGGATAAATTTCTCTCTCAAACGAACAGTTCACAACTTGCATTAAACTTAATTTATTTTATAGCAATTTTTGATTTGAGTGTAATGATAAAAATGCACGAAAATTTTAAGCCCATTATCATCAATTTCGTTGCCTTTTTTATCAACAAAAAGTTTTTAATTAATTGGATTCACTTTATAAGAGACGGTTACCAGATAGCATGAATTTCTGGTCTGTGTCAGAAATAAAGTGCTTAGTGACTGTATTTCTGCATAAAACAGTAAAATGTTGGTGAATAAATAACAATAAAAAAATAGCTTAAAAAATTTTTTTTTAAATATGCAGTCATTTCTTTGACTAAAAACCACAACATTAATAGATGGAAATAAACAGCTTCAACTGAAATAATTCAACAGCGTGGCAGTAGCATTAAGGATTACAATAAATCTAGCAAAAGATCTTTTCCATATTTTTGAAGTAATAAAAAGTGAAAATGAAAGATGCTTTCTTCCCTCTTTTTCCTTTTCATTTTCCAGTGATTAGTAACTACGCAAGCTTAGAGCATGATAAAGGCTTACTTGCTTATAGTTTTTATTGATTTCCAATATTTCTAAGTTATTTGAATGACACTACAATGACATTTCTAGTTAATTTATCAGCAGCTAAAAAGCTAAAATCTAATCACTGAATTGTCGAGAAGTAAAATATAAAGAAATCACTTCTACATTAGTTTGTTTTAACACTACTGATTTGTTGGAGGAATGTGCATGATAGAAAAAAACTATGATTACACCACGTGTTCAATTCATCAAGTGCATATGCTGAATTATATCATTGTATACAAATGTTTGTGAATCTAGAAGACCAGTAACAACAATCATTGTTGGCACACATAATCAATAGTTTGAATATTTGGAACCCGTGTATGACAGTCTGCTGTGAACCAGGACATCGCATTGCTTTTGACATCCGCAAGAACACAGGAATGTCTATAATTTGGTTCATGTTTTCTCCATCTATTATACCTTAACTTTGTGCCATCTTGCCATTTCCATTGTCTGCCATCAAAGGAAAGACCAATCCAGAATGGGTGTTCGAAATTGAAATTACCTGAGAATAAGGAAAATTTTACAAGTTTACTCAGTCAGTAGAAATTTTAAATTTTCGCCGAAGATGTTTCATTTTTTAAGCTTCGAAACTTTCTTTTTAGAGAAAAATGAAGCGAATTATATGATGAGCTGTTTCCTGAAATCGTAATTTGAATAGTTTCAACAACGACAAGACATCATATAAAAAATTTGCCTAAAAGAAAATCGTTGATATCACGATTGACGATTGTAACCAAAATTGCTCCTGAGTTCGAACATTCCATTTGAGCTTCATCATGCGTGGTGACATTAATACCATTTATCTGCATTAATAATAAATCACACCATAATGAATTGGATCATTTTATTTTGTCAAAATTTTCATTGCTGCTGTATATCTTATTTGAAAGAAGTGAGTAATTTCTGATAAATGTCAAAACTACCTTGATGTAACATCGACCTCTGAAGAATGACCAACCATCATCGCAATCTTCTGCAACATGAAAAAATTACTAATGAATCCTGAAATCATAATTTTGAAAAAATACCCCAGATAATGCCAAAAATATATTTCTACTAAATAACATTAGCATCAACAGATTATGCAAATTCATAACATAAGAGCAGCATAGCGAAAAATTGGAACTTCTCCTCATCATGGTAAATTTTATAAATATGCATCCTTTTTGAAATATTTTAAATTACAAGTACTTCTAACGGCATGATCAGTTGTTGTGACAAAGCATGTACGTAATGTTTCTCGAGTATAAGTGATACTTGTAATCCTACCTATAAAATTCTCAAATGTCGTTGTTTGACTTGAGGTTACTTCGTAATTACCACCTATCGTTGTTGGATTTGAATATAATCCCGAAATAGTATCATCTGTTGATGGCTGCAAGGTTGTCTCTGAACCTAGACTTTCATATGTTGATTCGTCAGTCACTGAGACCGTTGTTGAATCAAA